TTAATGAGCATACCGATCCAGGACAAGATGGTAATTGATCTACAACAGTTAGAGAATCCGTGAAAACGTCGATTGTGCCAATACCGTCGACTTCTCTAGCCTGGAACAAAACCCTTTAAGATTTAAAAAAAAAATGAATGCTCAGAACTAGTCAATGTAAATTTTCTAGCTCTAAAAACCAATAGACATGTGAATTTACCCAGCTTTGGTATAGAAATAATGGAACGAAAAATATATAGATTATGACTAGCTTTGATAGTTCAGCTTTTGCAATTTTATGAAGCCTATTCGAAATTACCTTTCGCCTTCTTCCATGATGATGATGGTGACCATCTTCACCTGGTAATGATGGGCAATTCTTTGGCGGTGTGATTCCATCACACCCACCATCGTACTTTAGACATAAGGTGATCTGAAAAGTTGAAGTTCATCAAGTGTCCATAAAGACCGAGATTTTCTTACTTGACATTGAAATTGGAGGACAGGACGATCAGCATATTTAAACACGTGATACGGTTTGTAAGCAAGTCGCAAGGAGCTGTCGTAGTCCGGAGTTGAAAGCAGTACTGCATCTAATCCACATCTGGAGCAATTTTGCTTCTGTGAGATTTTTTTTGAAAATGGCATAAATATAGCGATGCCAACTGCAAATCTGACAGAACGGATAAACATTGGAAAATTTGTGCCTAGTAAACCCATTAGTTTGGGTTATCTGCATCTTCCTTACCAAACTCACAAACTTAAATTTTACATTTTCCTTACCGAACTTACAGTTTATTCTCTGTTCTCTTTCCAAGAGTGTGAAAGTTTTCACACATGCTAATTCTTCCTTCTTCAATGCCGCAACCTACTTCTCCAGAAAACTTACCCCTTCTCACTTAGGATGTCCACACGGTCCCCATGTCCATTGTCGACGAAGCATGAATGAACCAACATTCCAAACGTATCCTTTTTCTCTACTTCGATGCATTCCCACCTGAAAAGAGGATCTAATGAGTAAAATTTAAAAAACAATTACATTACTTAGGAAATAAGTAAATTATGGTTTTATTTGCTCAAACATGCAAGCAAAATGCTGAAACAAGCAGAAAAAATTGATTCAAAGATTCTTGAAAAAAATTACCTGTGATACACGCTTTCCCCTAATGTAGCATAGCGCACAATTTCACCTTCTGGGCCACCCTTACGCAATGTATAGGAACATTGCGGCATCTGATACATTTTCTCACGGAATTGTGTTGTAATCATACTGTAACGGGGGAGATTTCTCTGCTTGGACATTTACAATGTACGAATCGTAGTTATCTTATGATAGGAGTGATGCGTACGTACCTGACCGAAAGTGGTACGGTAACTCTTTTATCAGCTTCCATGTAAAAACATTGAATTTTTACCATTTGATCGACCTTGGTCATAAACCTAAATGATTTTTAAGTTTCGGTGGATTTT